TTTTTGATACAAATGCAAAAATAGAACAAATACCCTGCCAAAAATGTAGTAGATGCAGCATATATATATATATCTCAACTGAGCAAAAATGATGACTATTTTATTGTTATCATTGCCTTAAAGACTGGGTCACGTAGACCTCTACCGAGGACTGCCTTATTAGCTGCTTATATAGCTGCTTCTTTTAGACGCAACTAAATCCTTGTCCTGATCAAGAAAATATATACTTAATATGCGGACTAATGCCCCACTTTGTGACAAAATTGGAATGTCCTTTGCTATGGGAAAATGTGATTCAACTTGAAACAGTTTTAGGATACTGGCGTTCGGCTTTTAACCGTTTCGCTTTGTATTTTGCCCGCATTTTAAATCGGCTATTTCGCTTTAAATGTGATAAATAACAATCATTTGCATTTGTTTGACTTTCTGTGCCAGTCTGTTGCACATAACTTCATTCCATGTTGGACGCATATTTTTTGTGTCCATAATTTTTTTTTGCCGTAGGCTGATGCATGCTGCAACCACTTCCTCGTGCCTGCTGCCCCTCATCCACCAGGCTATTGCTTTGTGGTCATTTGTAAGCCACTCGACTCGTCCGGCTGCTCGGCATACTTTCTCGGTCTTTGTTGCCGCTTTGGCTAAAGTTTGGCTCATGTCGTTTTTTAATGCAGCTGCCGAAACTTTCGTTGCCTTGTTGCAAATTGTTTGTCAGTCGTCGTCAGTTGCTGTAATGGGAGGCCTGCAGCATTTTTTATGTGGCAGACGTGACAGGAAGTCGCCAGCAGTACCGCACAAAACTACAACAACAGCAACAGCAACAACAACACCAACAACAACAGCAACAACAATGTCAGCACCAACAACAAAACGCAAAAGCCAAACGCAATGTAGCAACAGCAAAGGCAGAGCCCCTACCTCCCATTCATCGTATATTACATGAGCTGAAAAACACTCAGATCCAATTTTGTGGAACTCAAAAATTGCAACAGACTCCATTCGGATGGGTCAAGAATAGCCAGAAAAGTTATTTTAACTGTGGTATAAAGTAATTCAATTTAATGATATGAAAATGTAGCCAGGGCTGCAAACCCAACATATATTGTCGTTGCTCATCCTTACCGTGTTAGCCGAGTAGAGAAGCTCTTTAATTAAACTTACCCATTATGAATGTCATCATGCAATTGATAGTCAACCGTCTGCGGCATCCCGAAGATAATGAATCCATATTGCTTTCAATTTTCAGCCCGTGTCTTTGCTGAATGCCTTTTGGCTAATTGTCGCAGTTTTCGATCCGCTGCTAAATGGACTTGCATCCTTGTTAGAAAACGCCCGCCCACGTTGCCTGTAATGTAACTGCACTCGCTCTTTCAAGAATGCAGTGCCAATTAAAGACAAATGGGCTGCCAATTTGTTTGAAAGTTAACTGGCCATTTGTATACCCTGTACGCATTGAAAATGTGTAAACGATTAACGGCTTGTGCAATGCTATACGATCCCATATAGTATATATTCATAACAGTATATATTCTTGAGCAGGATGACGAGCCATGTGCTAGCCCATGTCTTATGGCGTGAATGTGTCGATCTCGGCAACTATCAAATAATAACGATTTGGTATTTGAAGCATAACTCGAAGAATTTTCTTATACCTAGCCGCTGGTACATAAACCAAGTCTGGTGCCTTATTTAAGTGCATAAATTTTCATGACGATCGGACAATAAGCTCCGAAGTCATTGAAGAATGCATTTCCCATAGTGTACGTTAAAGTCAAGGAGCACAGCAGCTGCATAAAGTCTGTGTGTGTGTGTACATATATGTGTTTTGGTGTATTTGTATATATACATTGAAATATGTTTGAATTTTTGTATGAGGGGCATCTCCTAGTCGTGCACTTAGGCTGGAGTACTCTTACGTGCTTATTTTTTCCTTTCCGCAACAGACGCCTTCATGTCGTCAAAGCATTTGCCATATCTCTGACATCTTTTGTCTCATTAGCATTTTGCGTCAAACAGAATGACGCACATACTGTATGCAACGGACGCACTTTGAACATGTGGCTGTGGCACGGGCAGCGTCAAGGACAGTGCTAGGAACAGTTAACTCCGCTCCCTGCAGCCTGTTCCGAACCATCGTGGCGTAACCCATTGAGTTTGTCAAAGCCAGTGGCAAATTTTTTGCTGCCTTTTCCACATTTTTTTTTTTTTTGCGTTGCCAACTTCTTGTTTGCCGCTGCGGCGGCTACGTCAATTCTTGACGCAAATTACAAACTGTTGCATTCTGTGCCATCTCCATCATTCCATTCGCTCTGTCCTTTTTTAGTCCAGCACCAAATACCCCTCTCCACGATCAACGAATGCCTTCTTTCACTGACGCAATCCAACCATACCCTGTAGAAAATGGCGGACAGGGCGCTTTTATCCTTTTGTGTAAAAGAATGCAATGGCCAGAGTAACGCAACACCTACCTAACTTAATTGTTTTAATAATAAACGGAATAATTGGAAAGGCAGCTGTTTGACTACAAGAGCTAACACAACACACCAAACTATGGCCAAGGAACATTGTGCGGAGCATCCCATAGTCGAGCGCCATGAGTTATATAATTTTGTATACCCTGAACCCATTGAAAATGGGTAAACAGGCAGAAAGAAGCATCGCATACCCCATAAAGTATATATATTTTTGATCTTCATCAATAGCCGAGTCGATCTAGCCATGTCAGTCTGTCCGTCCGTCCGTATGTATTTACGCAAGGATCCTAAAAGAGCTAGAAAAATTTTGAACGTTGGTTCTTTTATTGCTCACGCAGAACGAGTTGGTTTCCGATAATCGATAACTTGCCCCGTTCCCGAGGAATCGATAAAAATCAATATCGAAATAACTGATGCCACCCTCCCGCCCACACACCATAGCTAAAAATCGAATGAGCAAACCATTTAGAACTACCCATTCATTTAAGCCACTATTTTAATGCTATTATCTTTTTGAGAATATTCCATAGCATAATAAAATTGAAAATTTTATCAATATCGGTTAAGAAACACAAAAGTTATTCAAGGAAACGTGATTTGGCTGGCCACGTGTTTGCGGCTGCTAGCGCAAATTGCAAGAGTTTTTGTATACATGAACACACACACATTCATGCGTGTCTTTATTGAGTTCTATCAACAACAGTGCAATTGCGGTTGTATTGTATTCTGTGCTGTGTGTATGTGCTGCTATTTCAATTATTTTTTTTATAAGCAATTATTTGTTGATGTGGCTGTCGATTATAGGCGTTTGCAGGTGGTGCGATCTGTCACAGGTTCGATTACTAGCGAGGGATTTTTTTTGTATCACTGCTAAGGCGGGTTCAGGGTATCCTCTAGTCGGGAACTCCCGACTAGAGCCGCTTGCTTGTTAATATTTGTGTTGTGTTGCGTTTTGTTATGTGTTTTTCATGTGTATTGTTATGTTGTTTCTGGCGTTGTTTGGGTATTTGTCTGACGAGCTCCACATGCGAGAGAATCTTATTTGGTCGGTCAACGGCAGCGGGAGGGGGCGTGGTCGCCGTTGAGGGCGTTTGTCTGACCGGCGCTTGCTACAATATTAAAAATGATATGAAATCAACAGCCCGCTAGATACATACAAAGCTAGTAAAAGGGTTACTGGACCGTAGCAACACAAGGGGCCGAGTACTATATGAAAGGCAGCTTCATACGAGCACCAGAAGCTGCGTAACATACACAGACAGAGCCGCAAAGCTGCTTTTGGGATGCGTGCTTTTTTTTCTCTCCATGGAGATGAATTTTTTGGAGCCCATGCTGGCGGAATGGCGTCACACAAATGCAACTTGCCGAAAACTTTAATTTACGGAACGCGTTTTACTTATTCAGTTTTGTTGTTGTTGTATTTTAATTTAGTAGTCGACAGTGTCGCCGACATGTCATTAAGTATGTCTTCAAGCAAGACACAACTTATGACATCTCGCTAAGTGCGTCATGTAAGCATGCAACATTTCCATGTAAAATTATATAACTTTTTGATTCTCTTGATTTACCTCCGACAGCAAAGGGTCGCTGTCAATCAAGTTTAATTTTGTTGGGGCTGAAAAATCGTATGATATATTTATTGCGACGTCAATGTTCGGTGGCAAATTGTTGGCTGCGGTTTACCTTGCTGGCTAATACAACAACAAAGCAAAAAAAAGAGAGCATAATTGAATAGAATAAAGAAAACTTAATGCGAATTGGCCGTTTTATAAATCGCTTTCAACCCGTTCAATGTGAAATTTTTCCGCCTGTCATTGTTGCAGTTAACTGACTAGTTGCCGTTCTTGCTGATGCATATCCTATTACAGTTTCCGTTGCGGTTCGCCAGCAGTCGCAGTAAGAGGAGCTGCCCCAAAGAATCGGCAAAGATGCGCCAGTTGGCTGCAACTTTTATTGCTGCCGGGTTTCTGATTACCACCCTCAGACCGAGTCCAAGTTAGCTGAGATTTATTTAGGACTCTTTGCGGGTTTTTCGTTTTGTTTGAGCTGCTGTGGGTTCTTATCGGTTTATTTTTGAACCCACTTAAGCTAATTTTTCTGAATCTAATGAGGAGTTAAATAGATGTTGGTTAACCACATTGCATTTGCTGTTAACATTGTGGATAGGGCATTACCTGGGCTAAGCGCGAAACGGTCGTATGTCTTCTATAGAAAGAAAGACAAGAAGACCTTCTTTATTATTTTAGTTATTTATTTATTATTTTTAAGAGGTATTTGCATAGCACTATATAACAGAGTATTGCACAGTCGGTTGTAGAAATTGATTACTACTTTTCACTCTTATTTGATATATTGTTTTTTCTTTTTGATTTTGTGTCACACCTGAAGCCCCATTATCAACTTTCATAAGCTTAATCTAAAAATATATACTTAATAAGGACTAATGTCAGTTAGTGCATTGCTGCATCGACTTTCAAAGATTCTTAATGTTAAATGTTAAATGTTTCTATTCCCTTCTCTGTCTCTCAGCAGGACGCCAAACTGAAACTGGAAACTGAAGCGGCAACTGTGTGAAGAACGTTTGCCAACTGTCATTGTCTTCTGGCATTGGGCAACATTTTAATTGAAAAACTTTTTGGGCCAAAGCAAACGTCACACAAAAATGACTGTTAAATTGGCCAAACTCTTTGGCAGCGGCAGCAGCAGCAAATCCAACAGCAACAGCGCCAGCAATGTGCCCAATATTGTTCCTGCTCATAGCCATGCCCACAATTTACAACAGCCAGTGCCGCCATTGCCGCCGCCCAATGCCAATATGAAGATCATTAAATACTGCGATCATCATGATCATCATCAGCCTGCGGCTAGAACCATTTATGGTAATGCCTACGAATGCAATCAAATGGAGCTGGAGCTTGAGGATGATTATGATGATAACATGTCGTTAAGCTCGGCATATATGCAGCGCAATCATCCCTATAACAACTCACAGCGCCCACTGCTCGGCGAGCGTCGTCCCCAGCTGCTGCTGGTCGGTGGCAAAAAGAAGCCGCCAGCAACAGCGCCGATGGGTGGCATACCGCTGCCAGCGCCACCATTGCCACCGCAGCGCAGTGCCAGTGCCACTGGCAATGTCAACGCCACCATCAACGTGACCGCTGCCGCCAACGCCAATGCCGGCGTTTACGTCTCGCCGTATGTGCAGCAACAGAAACGGGACAGCGTTAAGGGACTGCACGGCTTTAACGATTTCGATGCGCTCTCCCAGCAATACAACCAGCATCTGCAGAGTCCGCACATTGGTTATCCGTATGGCAGTCCGCCTTCGCCGACAGCGCAATCGAGTGACTTTTGCTTCGATAGACAGCGCGAGCAAGAGCAATCCTTTAAAGCCATCTCAACCACCAGCTCGACGGCCACAACTAAATCGAATTGTAGCTCCAGTTCGGCTGCAAACGGCTCACCACCGCCGCCGCCGCGCTATGGCAATGTTGGTTATCAGGATGCTGGCCATTATCTGGACCAAACTCAGACACAATTGCTGTCACACGCCTCACGTTTCGAGGATGATTTCTGTACGCGTCGCAATGTGGATTTTGTGGCTGGCAATGCGACTGGCACTGGAACTGGAACTGGAACAGGAATTGGCAGTGGAACAGGTCCCTTCATCTTTGGCATCTCACACGAGCAACAGCAAACGGATTATGGTTGCCGCCGACGTTGCAGCATCGACAGCGCCAATAGCAGCACCACCAAAACCAACAGCGACAACAACAATCTCAATCAGCCTGTGATAAATGCCAAGCCCGTTAAGGAGCACAATGCACTGGTAAGTAGTTATTTTAGAGTAGCTTTTTATTTTCTATTGCACCGTCCAAATTGGCCCAAAAGCTAGCTGCCTTTCTAGGGTAATTAGCGTTCTGCCCGGCACTCTGCTCAACCTTGTGGCAAAGTGGCCAAGCAGCGTGAGTGGGGTTGTGGGGAGAGCGGGGACCTGGCACAAAAGTTGGGCAAAACGACACCATTGCAGAGATAAAATTAATTAGTGCGTTCTATGCAATTATTGTATTTCAGTTTTATTTTTTAATGAGGCAACAGCCAAGACAAAAGTTTTTGTTACCAGCCGCTATCTAATTAACATCTGAAATTGCTAAATGCACCTTGTTTTGCAGAAAATTCTGTAAAAAGGTCATATACAAAGAAATTACAACGGTTGATATACTAATAAAACTATTTGTTAACGTATCCTTTTGCAATTTAAAAATTCAACGACTCGTTCGACTCGAGCTATAATCGATATACGACTAACTTATTTATCTTTTTCTTCATATCAAAGGGTAGATTATCAAAGGTATATTATTAGGGTATATACTATATATATTTATATTATTAATCAGTATCAACAATAAAGCTCTCAGTCTTAAAGATATCGCCATGAAACCTTCCATAGGTCCGTCTCTCTGGCATGTGTCGGAACCGACCGGGTCAAACCATCATATTGTTTAACTCCCATAGAAACACTCGTTCTAAACTGACTTTAGAAAAAAAATTGGTTAATAAAATGATATGGAAAACTGTTGTATGACATCTTCACCGACTTCAGCAATTACGCGCTTCTATCATTCGATTATCCTAACATATCGGCAAAACCGAATCAAATCAGACATGCATATTATATGCCTTCTATTGGACAATCAGTCAGAAATTAGCTTTTGTATAAAAGCAGTTCTAGGCGACATGTCTGTAAGAGTTTAAAGTCCTTCATCCATTTAATATTACATATTTTGCAGTTTTATCCTACCAGTCGTTAGTCCTGTGCCTTGCCTGATTTTTAAAGTTTTAAAGCTGACATTGCTGCTGGTTCCGAAAAGGTGATCGTTAAAATACAAAAATGTGGTCGTGACCACAACAACAAATTGCTGACTGGGGCAGCTGTCAAGGCTTGAGAATTTCACAGCATGTAAAGCCTTTGAACATCTGTGTTAGAGGTGGCAGCAATTTGAAAGCAATTGATTGTTGTTGTTTTTGTTATTATTGTTGCTGTTGTTGGCGATGGCCAAGTCTTAAGAATTTTCCGCTGCTGCTGCTGCTGGTGGTGCTCAACTTTGTTCATTGGAAGACTGTCTATTCTGATAATGGCCAAGACAACTCACCTACGGCATCCAAGCTGCCAATAGCGGCAGACAAGCAAAGAAACAACTGATGGACACTGCGAAGCGTGAGCGCAGAATTGAAAGAATGGAAAAGGGAATAATGTAATGGGAAGGGGAATGGTAATGGGAATGAGAATGGGAATGGACGAATGTAGCAACCAAGCAACCCCACACAAAGCACTGTCAGTTTTCTCTCCCGACCCGAGCTAGCGGAGCCTTTCATAGCTGCTGCAGAACTTCAAAGCCCACGACGGCGACGATGACGACTTGACTGCTGCAGCAGCAGCATCAACAGCAACTTTTTGCAGCAGTAGCTGCAAGAGCGTCCCGCTCTGCACTCCGCTCGCCATTAATGCCAAGCAAATTAAAATGTTGCGCAAATAAAATGTAAGAAATTTTCACGTTTTCTTCTTCGGTGAAAGGCAACAAAAAAACAAACCAAATAAATAAAAAAACAAAAAAAAACGTAAAATGTGTAAAATGTTAAGGAAAATGAAGAGAAAAACTGGATTGCCTAGCGTGAACAGCAGCTGAACGCTGAGCACTGAGCAAAATTAAAACACATTTCGTAAATTAATAATGAAATGGATGCATGAAACGAGTGAAACAGACAAATGAAACTGGCAACTGTCAAACAGAAATTGCTTGAAAAACGCACCCAAATTCGCCAGCGAGTCGTCAAATCAAGCAGCCAAGGAACCTACTTACCTGAGCTGCAAGCTCATATTGACGATGCCTTAAAGAATTTTATTTGGTAAAAACATATTTTAGTTAGGAAAACTATCGTATAGCCCTATGCCACAGCCCAAATGGTTCATTAAAAAAAAGAGAGAAAGTGCAATTTAAAATTTGCAAAGTGAAAAAAACCTTGTTACCTAGTGTAATCTGCGCTGTACTCTATTACTCTAAATGCTGTTTCAAACTCAATGCGAGCAACTACTTCAACTCTCCTTTTACAAATTTATTAAAACATTCATGTATCCCTCTCTTATACATAAATTATCATTAAATGCTTGGCAGAAATTCATTTCAAAAATTTCTTTTTATTTTTTTGCACTCTTCTTCGCAATTCTCACAAAATTTCGTAATGCTTGCGAGTTTGCACTTACTTTTTTTTTTTAAATGCATGCATTAATAATAAAGATAACTTTCTCTACTCATCAATTATTTTTTTCTTCTTTTCTCTTTTCCACTTTTCCCATTTAATATTATGTGCATTTTTCCAATACAAAAATGGGCCAAGGCAAAACAGCTTTTATTGAGACGTTATTGTTAAGTTTTTGAATTGGGCATTAAATGCAGCTAATGCTTATGGAATTGGAGTATTTAATTTCCGTTCGTAGAAAACCAAAAATTGACATTTAAGTAGTCTACTTTGTATGAATGTATCAACCGGTAATGTCCTTGTCAATTTCAATTTAGATGCCGAATCGGGCGTTTCGATTCGTCATAAACAAAACAATAAATTGAGACTATAAATAAAGTGCAGCTTGCACTTGAGGCTCTCTGGCAAATGCATTGCGTTTATGGTGTCTATATTGTGTACAAGGTTGCGGTTTGTACAGCATCAACAGAAGCGGCAGCAGCAGCAACAATAACATCAACATTAACAAAAACAACAACAAGAGTAATACTATAAAAGTTGGTAGCAACTCAATGTGAATCAAATCGCATCAAATCAATTGCGAACATTACACGGCATTGCAAGCTCGATGCAACTTTAACAATAATAGACTACATCACACCTTGTTTAACTTTTCGCCTCAATAACTCTTTGAGAACTATAAGCTTCAAGCAACGATAAGTAGCAAAGTAAGCTAACAATACGAAAGGGTTATGAATAAATTTAATATTTGACCGACAGTTCCTAAACTATATGATATAGTGGTCTGATCTGGCCGACATCTCCGACATCCTGCCTGCTGCCAAAGAGACAGATCTAAGGTTATAGAGTTAAAATCGAGACAATTTTATTTTCAATTTTATAAAACGAAGACACGGACAGATACTTTAGACCAGGGTATCAGCTAGTCGATTAGCTTTGGCATGAAACTTTGCTGTTTCTAAACGATTTGTTTTTTGAACTTCTGCGGTTTCCACTTGCTGGCCAAGTTTCATGCAATTTGTTTATTTATTTACGATTATTTATTTTGTACAACTGCAGCCAATACTTCTGTTTATTTATTATAGATTATTAATTATCTTCAACTCATAGCAATTTGATTAATTCAATTAAATTTACTTGATATTATTAGCTTAAGGTCAAGATCTGAGATTTTTTGGTCATTTGAAGTTCAACGACTAAGCACAATTTCTGTACAGAAAGCTGTTAGTCCTAAATGCGTGTTTGATTGACTGACTGACTAATGAAATCTTTGAGGCTTAATGACGGGGCTTGGGGAAATTTCGTCCACAAGTGTTTTGAAGAAAAAAAACTTGGACCGGGCAAAGCTGGGTAATGGCCGCTAGTGTATACAAACATACATATATGTATATTTACTTTTCAATTATTTTTGACTTCATATAGTTAATATACAAAAAAAATATGCTACTTAAGTCAGATTGGGCAAACCAAATTCAAAACCCGAATAATTTGTTGCAGCAGCTGCAAATGTTGTTTTATTGAAAAGTTGGGTAATTTAAACCAATGTGAGAGTATAAGTGCTTGTTGCAGTTGTTGTTATAGCTGTTGTTTATGTCTGGTATTGCCACATAGTTAAGTTGTTGGTACGCGACGCTCTGTCTGGCAACAGAGCCAATTGCCAGACACAAAGTCAGTAACCAAGTCGCAGGTTGCCTCAGCTCAGGCCTAAAAGCCAAAGAGCTGCAGCTCTTGGCCAGCTTTAAGCAAGTGGGTGAGACGGGCTGGGGCGCGAGAGGAGCCGATTGCGAGAATCAGTTAGCTACGTGACCATGAGGCCACGCAGTTGCCGTTGTCGTTGCCGTTGCCGAGTCGTCTGCTAAGCTCCACTTTATGCTGCAGTTGTTAACAGAATTTATGCCGTGCGCCGCCATTTGCCACGCACCTGTGGCCATGTCCTCCCCCCCTCCTCCACCCCCTTGCCACCAACCAGTTCTGCTTTTATGCATTATTTGATTAAAAAGTTTTTGTTTTTATTTATGTAGTCTGCACGCTTAGGCAAACAGAACAGCACTCAGTTTAGTTTTTAAAGTCGATAAGCACTCAAAGTCAGGCGACTTATTGAGCGAGTGCCTTTTAAAGTGCCTTGGTCGTCCAATATTTTGTCTCGTGTCAAAGTTGGGCATCTGCCAGACAGCTAGCCAGCCCAGCCCAGCCCAGCTCAGCCCAGTTAACTGCTTCATGGAGGTGTCATCCGTGTTGACAAAGTTGTCAACGTTGTCAAACTTTTTGTTTGTTATTAGTTATGAGAGCGATGCTGTTCGGTTTCAATTGGTGGCGACCTTTATACCACCCCTTATGGCGGTCGAAGCTTGTAATTAATTGACGGAAATTGAACAAATTAAATATCAAAGTAGACACTCTATAAAAGTACACCATTAACGGCGGCTAAATGTAAGTTTAATTAACTTTATGGCTGGTTAAAAAAATACTCGTATATTTCCCATGCACCGGCTGCAGCAAATGTTGCACAGTGGAGCTGGTGCGTACTATTATGATGAAAATTTTGATGACAGCTTTTTCGTTTTATTGTGC